GGGGGGGGGGTGGGGGGGGGGTCTCAGGGTCCCAGGTGGAGGGAGTAACCCTCTTGTTCCAGGGCCCTGGTCTGACTGCCCCACTTCCCAGGGGTCCAGTCACCATTCCCACACTCTGTTCTGAGTTCCCCCCGCCCCCATCCAGGGCCTCGTGGCTTCGAGGATGTGCCAAGGGGTGGTCCCCATGCTGAGACCTTTTTGGTGCCCAGCAGGATCGTGCAGCCCGTGGGGAGGCCATGATGACATGCAGAGGGGAAGGCATTTGGCTGCTATAAAGCCGAGGTCCAGTCGGGGAGTACTGTCATTTATAAGCTCTCACATGCCGAGCACTGAGCCCTCTCTCTCCTCTGCAGTTCGCAGCCATCGGCCCCACCACCGCGCGCGCCCTGGCCGCCCAGGCCCTGCCCGTGAGCTGCACTGCCGAGAGCCCCACACCCCAAGCCCTGGCCGCAGGCATCCGGACAGCGCTCCAGCCTCACAGCAGCTGAGGCGGCCAGCCCGGCCTTCCTGTGGGCCGAGGACAACGGGGGCTGCCTGCATGGGTGAGGACCCCCCCAGCGCCTCCTCGTGCCCGGAGGAACCACCGGCACCAGCGATCAGGAGGGGACCTGGGCTGGCGGCCGGCCCGTGCACGTCACTTTCCTCCACCAAGGCCCCTCGGACCCTCCCCCAGCGCCTGCTGGCTCGCAGGCCCGTCAGAGCGCTTCCTCCAGCAGCAGGAAGACATCCCAGAAACCACACTGGCCCCCCGTGGGACTGGGCGGGGCTGGCTGTGCAGCTTCCAGGGCAGGTGGTGTCTGGGGGAGGATGGATGTGCCCACGTCTGAACCAACACGCCTGTGTGCGCGAAGTCTGCTGTGTGTGAAGTCGTTCTGTTCATCCTATGAAAAGGGCCTCAGTGCCGCCTGGGAGCGGGAAATGGTCAAACACAGAGCCTTCCTTCAAAAGCGGAAGCGCAGCCTAGTCCACCAGGCAGGGGCCCCGCCCGCCTCCGTTTCCTGGAATCAGATGTAAGAGCTGGAGCTCCAGCAGCCCTTTGGGGCCTGGGTGACCTTGAGAAAGGAGGCTCGGTACGGCAAGGGGACACGTGGATACTAACTAGCCTGCCCTGGACTTCCTGAATAGAAGAGAAATGCCAACTCCTGCTTTGTTTAAACCACTCTTGTTTTGAGGTTTTCTGTTATAATCAAATCCCAGACACAGGATGGAACCTGGCTGGTTGTGAGTGACTCAGGCCCATGCGGTCAGGGGCGGGGCTGCTTTCTACCAGGAGAGGTGCATGTTCTGTAGGGTTGGGGGCTCGGGCGGAGGGTGGGAAAGAAAGTGAAGCCCTCCATCCTGATGGTCAACAACTCAGCTTGGTGAGCAGCCCCGTGAACGCGCATCTCTGAGGTTTCCATACAGAACAGAGCAGCCCCGGTGACCCAGCCACACCTCAGAGCTCCCTCACCACTCTGACCCGCCGCCTGGGGGGTGGGGGGACGGAAACAGACGCAGAGCCAACCTCCCAGGGGCCCCCTGCCCTGAGCTCCAGTCAGGAGAGGTGAGAGCGCCTGCTCCTGGGTGTCTCCACTGCAGCCGGAACAGCTGCTGCCCCGGAGCAGTCCGCGCTGGTAGGTAACTGATGAGCCGCGAGCAGCCGCTCTGGTCACTGAGCAAATACTCTCGCTCGGGGCCACTCGGTCTGCGTTTCCAGGTTTACCTGGTGGCAGGGTTACCCGCTGACTAAGGTGGCTTCGGGTCACTGCCCGACACCCAGATGGCTGGGCCTGTGCTGGGTGCCTGGGGACCGGGGACAGCACAGCTCCTGCCCGCAGGGCCCACCCCCTGCAAAGAACAGTCGGGAGGCAGCTGAGCTCGGCATGGACGTCTGTACTTCACAGGACAGCCCGTGGGGGACGCGGGGCCCACCTTTCAGGACAGGCTCTGCAGCAGCGCACTCCGGGCTCCGTCCGTCCCGGGGGGAGGCAGCCTCGCAGCTTCCGCACCCAGCCGCCTGCCCTGCGGTGATGCCGCTGACCGTCACAGCTTCCTTCGGGGATTGGATAAAAGCACAAGTT